TAAAGGTCTGTATTCTATTGTAGGGCCCACAAGACAACAAGAGCGGTGGTGGAGCGTGGCATAGGCCAGCTTAAGAGGCGCTTTCATGTTCTCCACAGAGAGGTGCGGTTGAGGCCTGAAAAAGTCAGCAAAGTCATCATAGCCTGTGCAATATTACACAATATTTGCAAGGTTAGACAGATTGCAGAACCTCTGGAGGATGGCGATGAGGATGAGGATGGAGACAACGATGAGGATGGTGGTGAAGAAGATATTCACATTCCACAGGGGAACCGAGCCCAGAGTGGACTGCCTTACAGGGCAAACTTCACAAATTTACATTTCAGGCAAGCTGTAGCCCCATGTCATTTGAGAACTTGTGATGGTATTAAGAACTACCACAGTTTTACTGCACATCACCTGCAACTGTTAAATGCAAGACACAGAACACAATCTCTAAATGGTTTATTTTTTAGGTGTTCAATTTTAAGGCGGTAGTACTCCTCCTGAAGGGAAAGGACTTTTTTTTGTTGTTCAAACACATCAATTGTGAGTTGCAATCTTCTCTCCTGCAGGGATGCTGACGGAGCAGGTGCTGCGGATGGGAATGGTGTTTGATCCGCCGGGCTATCCTGAGTAGCAGCTGCAGATGGTTCAGGCGGCAAACTTGATGGGCCCGGTTCTTGTGATGGCTCCATGCTACAGAAATACATAGGCCTAGTTTAATTATTGTTTTGATTAAATTAATTTAATACAATGAGCATGGATAACACATGAAATGGCTTCTGCAATGAATAAACACTGTTGATATGAATAACCCTGTGTCCTACCTTTGCTGCATTTCAAGGGCCTGCATCATTGACGTGTCAATGCCTGTTGGCAGCCCGGTGACACTGACCTCAGAGTGTCCCAGGACTTGAAAGACAGTGTCGGCCACCTGGGACAGCCGCTTTGCAGGTGGTCCACCCCCTAGAAAGAAACAGTCAATGAACACAGTACTTAGGCATGTAAATTAACTTTGCCAGCAGGAGCAAATTGCCAGATTATGTGGTAGGCCATAGTATTTTGCTCACCTGTGAGTGAGGATTCCCGCTTGTGTGCTGCAATCTCATCTTTTGCCTTGGACTGCAGCACATACCACCTTTTCTCACAATCGTCGCCTGTCCGCACCACCAGTGGAAAAGAGGCATTGATTGTTTGGGATATTGTGTCCCAGGCGCGCCTCTTGCCTTGGCTAGTGACAGTTGGGCCAAATTTTCCTCGTAACATACCTTTATGTTCGTTCACCAACTGGGCCAGCAACAAACCTTGCTCCTCAGTCCAGTTCGGCTTGCGATTCCTTTTTTTCTCCATTTTCTGTGTTTGTAGGATATTTGTTAACAAGCCTTCATAAATAGACCAGCCAGCAATCACAGACATTGTTAAAAGCTGAGCTGTGTTACCCTCGTTAAGTTCACACTGAGTTGTAACGTTGCAATTTCTACTTCATTAAGGACAGCCCCTTGAGATAGGCCATCTTGTTTTCAATGGGGTCCATATGGAAGTGAAAGTACAAAATATGCCAGCTAGGATATTAATATGAGCAAATGAGACACAAATCATTATTTGAACAGGGTGTAATGAGCTTAAGTTTTCACATATTTTAGATTCTAATGTTAGGCTATAACCCCTACAGCTTACTATTCATTTTCCAGATATTTTCTTGAATGTGAAATATTATTTACAATTATAGTCTGCATAAGATTAGAGTGTATAATTATGTTTATTGATTTGAGGGTACATCCTTTGCTCATTATCACCAAAAGTTCATTTTCATCAAACTTGTAGGATCAACCAATCACGGCTTTTGAAATGATGACTCATACCTAGCAACGGGGTCAACCACACCTCCTCACTAAGATAGGATTTTTCATCCATTCCTGGCTCAGAGTTCACTGAAAATGTTCTGGAATCACTTCTAAGCTAAAACTCCTGGCAAGGAATTTTTAGGTTAAGTTAGGAGCTCTCTGAGAGGATTCTCAGAATCTTTAAGGATACGGGCCCTGGTGTACCAAAACACAATGACGCAGTCGGTGTGTTCGAAGCGTAACGCCTTGAAGCATGCCTTGGAGTTCTGGTATCAAACTTAACATCACTAGTTGACAGGCCACATCAGGCCTGCAAGTCACATTATGCTGGCTTGCAAAATTATGTGTAATTCCTATTGGAATCCAGCCGGAGTGGGGATAGCCAACATTTAGAATTTTTATTCACCCACAACCTACATTTAGAATGACTGCTGGGTTGAGAAGACAAAGATATGAGACTACTTAAACTATCTTAACTGGAACAACCATTTCAGTAACGTGTGCAAAAGTACAGGTAACAGATTGGATTAGTTTAGAAAAACATATGTTATTTATATTTGAGTAGCATAAAATTAATTCATCAATCAATGTACATGCAAAATCATAGATATTGAAACAGACAATTCAAAAAAAAAATGACCTGCAATAGAGCATGCTGGGAAATATGTTAATGATGGTCATGGTTTTGGTTTAACAATGGTTATTAACACCACACAGTGAATTTAACACCTGAATCAACACTAGAAATGTTACACAGAAAAATCAACACTAGGTAACACTGGCCAATTTGTGTATAATGATCCTCTTTTGTCATTCTTGTAAAGGGCTTTGTGTCGTTGTCTTTTATAAAGATAATATAGCTTTAATTCCAATACATAATGTTAGCAGTACAGAAAACATTGTTGAATACTTTTATTTCAAAGTTTCCATTATAAAAAATACCATTCTAAGCTTCTCTGTATGAAGAATATGTCTTTTAAAATGTGGTCTTGTTTTTCACCTCAGTGCTCAAGTATTTTGGAATCTTGCAACGTGCCAAAATGGAGATGGGAATACTTCCTCCTCTACACATCTAAGGAAATGATAAGCAAGTTCTGAAAACAAGACCTCTTCAAATACAGAGAACCAATATATGGTAAGAAAATAAAAGCAACAAGTTAATATATTTTTGCAACAGGACCAACCCCAATGTGATCAGGCCTCGAACCTCAGTTCCCTGAGTTAGTAACAAAGAGCATTCATAGCCTTCAGCAACTATTACATGACCATATCTAAAAGAACAACAGTAATTTAAGTTTTGTTAGAAAGCACAGACATATACTTTTCTATTGCGCAAGCATTAACATAGATTAAAGTACATTTCAATTTCTCGTTTGTGCAATCTACAGATGTAGTATCTTAATTTGATCACCCTGATGCAGGAAATGCAAACTTGTAGCTAGTGTATTCAAGGCTTAAAAAGGCTTCTAAAGTTTTACATTTCCACTTAAACATTTCAGACTTGATTTGCCCTAACAAAACATTTATCAACCCCTACACAAATGTCCATTAATTATAATTAACACAATAATTCACATTTCCTGTTGCTGCAGGATTATTGGACTGCTGTGAGAAACTGGTCAAATTAAGATCCTGCATCTGTACGAGCAAGGCAACAAAGGTCACCACCAATAAGAAGAGATACATTGTAATCCTTAAAAGAGTGATTTGTAATCATATTGTGAGGATTTCATGCTTGTGTGTGTGTGTGTGTGTGTGTGTGTGTGTGTGCATGTATGCGTCAGGTGGGGAAAGGGACATTCAATTGCTGCAACTACAGATTATGTGTAGTTTATCTTGTTATGATACTTGCATGGTTGAGGCAAACATTGTGCAGTTGAAGGTCTCAATGCAAAGCTGACAAACCTAAGCGTTGTTTTTGTGTGGCTTCTATAGGTAATAATGTCTTTGCTTCTATAAATTGGGGCTGAACAATCTATAAGAAATCCTATTATTTCAACTACCAGATATACTGTACATGGTCTGTTTTAGCCCACATGAGCAGACTCAACTAAATTAGTTTGATCTCAACCTTAGAAAACTCCAGTTTAAAATTATACAGCCCTGTTTTGTTACAATATATTGAGGATTATTGCTATATACAAAGTTGCATATACAAAAAAATTCAATACCCCTCTCCGGCCCTTTATAAACAAAGTGTACAGGTAGATACATCATGCAGAAGCACAGAGACTGCATCCAGGATTGCTTTACTGTGAAATCGCAGAACATTGCCATGAGCACACAGTTCTGCCATTACGGCATTGGATCATGTTAAAACCGTGCATGGCTCATGTTCTTGGTAAGATTACAGTATGTAATCCATCACCGTAGAGGTTCTCTGTAGAACCATCTCAGTCTCGATTCCAGGGGAGCGACTCCAACATTCCCAGACAGGGGTCTGCTGCTGTATGTCCACAGTATGACTGCTCTGCATCTCATCAGCACCAAAAGTGTCCATATTTTAGTGTCCGACAGATCCCAGACGCACAGAGAGCCTGAGACGTGGAGGCTCGATCACTGCGACCCTTTGTCTATCAACCAAGACATGTCCCCTGTCCTGCAATACAGAGGAAACAAAACGGCAAAAGACATCACTCAGAGTGCATATTATGCAGTTTAGACAAGAATGACGTGGATAATGTAGTCTAGGCTCCGAACAACAGAAAACAAGAGTGTAAAACTGGAACTGAACTGCATGTATAGCACAAGCATGCCAAGGTTGATTTTTGTGTGTTCTGACAGTGTTTCACATATAGTCTCATGAAGGGATCGTTAGTGGAGAGATTGAGAAAGACATGCATCTTAGATTTCGTACTTGCGTTGTCGGGTTAACAGCCTTCATTTTGTATGAGTGCACAATTAAAAATGAAAGATCAGCATTAGAGAAAGTAAGACATTGTTTACAGTAAAGCATTGCAGTACACATCTTAAACAAACTGACAGACACCCACTGGCAAATGTATCTAAACCCTCCTCTACTTATTAACATAGGTCATGTCTTTCACAGTTATCACATATCATGTGGTAACATTTGTAGAGTTCGGTTTTTGCTCATAGTGAACCTAGGAAAATCTAAAGAACTTAACAACCTCATTGTCACCCAGACCCCCGCTTAAGACCATAGAAATGCACTTACTCCACATCTCGCTTTCTAATCGTCTTTCCGGACCCTAAGACCTCTGCCACACGGGATACAATGGGGTCATAGTTCATGCTGGCAACGGCAACCACCTCCTCACTCCTATAGGTGGGAGAGATACACCAAACAACTTTTAGACAACAAACTAGGTTTACTGGAGTTCATTCTGTGGTAAGGATGAACTCTACTGGATTATATAAAAACAAAAGAGAGGATTTACTTTACAAAACAACCTGGACCGATGGCTGAAAGCATCTCAGTAGATAGTGTTTGGACACATACCTGGTGTAAAATGCCACAAACTTTAGTTCGTCCACGTCCCCTTGGATGACGACATCATCAAAGCCCTCCCCGTAACCTTGGTAACAGAATAGACACACTTTAGGTCTGTAAAAAGAGTGCCACACCACCACCACACCTATCATGATGGCATCCTTCTAAATCCTATGATGACTGAAAAGCCGCAGTGTCTGAGCTCACAGCTAGGTGGCAGTACTTGAGCTACAATCTCAACAGAGGCATTTGGAGGAGAGCATTGGTAGTAGTCTTACCAACTCACTATTTGCAGATTTTTTCCACCTATTCAGTCCTAATTTAACACTTCCCAAACAATGAATACAGTACATAAACAAAACTTGTATAACTATGTAAAAAACGTTTCCAATGGTTCAGTGGGTTAGACTGAGCATGGTGCTGGCAACACCATGGTGGAGGTTTTGAAACATGCACAGGCCACATATACTAAATAGATGTGTCACTGTCAATTTTGACAGTTCTGCCATGTGCTTTGGATAAAATCTGCTAAATGACCCTAACGGTATTAAATGATATTACTTGTGGAGTGAGGCTCTGTTTACCTGCATAGCGTAGGCTTTTCCCAAACATGGCCGACCAGAAATAGGGCACCGTTTTGATCTCCGTGGGTCTTCCCATCATGCCTAGTGCTGCCACTCTCCCTGTCAATCACAAACCAATAGAAAAGGTCCCATAAAAAACAATCCACTGCAAATCCAGCCCCAGATACGCAGCTGAGTGTTTGACCCTTTAGGGGAAATGTAAAAACTCCCACTTAAAAGGAAAACTCCACCCCAAAACTATATTTTGGCATTTGTTTCATTAGTCCATTGTTGACATAGTCCCAAAATGTTTTGCTTGTCAGCAATCAAGTTTTCAAGATACAGAAATCATCCCCGTATGATGCATTTTTTATTTTAACACTTTATTAACACAACAATAAACACTTACCGTGCACATGGGCCATTTGCCAGTGTGGGATGTTCACCTTCTTATTGCTGCGCCCCGGAAAAGGAAACGTCACAATGTCTCCTCCGGCATAGACACCATCAATGTTAGTCTGCATTGTCTGAGGGTTAGAGGGTTATCCAGAAGAATACAGGAGCCAATGTGGAAATCAGGAGGATCTCTTACTTGTAGACAAGCCACCTGACAAATTAGATGATAACTGACGAAAAACTCACAGCTCTAGTTCTACAAATGATACAGTGACACTTGTACATCATTGTAATAGAGTGGCACTGAAATTATTTGTTTGAATAAAATGAGTGCATTTGAAATGAAATGAGTGCATTCAAAGTATTTGTGTGTTATTAGAATTGTTGTGCATCATCATTGTTTTTTCTACCTTGTTGACGGGGACAAAACCCTTGGAATCCATGTGAACGCCACTCTGTTTCAGGAATCCAGTGGCTGGGCCAGACCCTGCAGAGTGAAGAGACATAGATAGACCACCATTAATTCACCACCAGGAATCAGAGTAACATTAGTGGTTGAGTTTGATCAACTCTACATTACACTCCTGCACGACCACTGAAATGAGTGAGTGTGCTAAAGTGGAGGCTATTGCGGACCGAGCGTTTGTGTCTCTGAGCTAGCTGCCTCACCTGTGCCAATAACACACACATCCGCCCTTAGTACTTTCCCACTCTTCAGAACCACCTCTTTCAACTGTGGAACATAAAACAAAAAACATTGACAAAAACAGTGAGGCAACACACACACATAATATTACCACTAGATTACCCTCAGTTCTGCTACTTTCGTTCTTGAGTACGGAGTTTTTTTTTTTTTGCACAACCAGTATTGGCACACGTCTCTTTTACTGAGTCACACTCCAAATGGAGGTTGTAACTGGTAGTAATCTGGGCTGCTTATCCTTTGTTTGTTGGCACTCTGTGGTCTACTTTGGTCAGTCACACCCGTTCATCAGCGTTTAATGGCGGCGTCCCCATTCTCCTCTTCTCCCCAAGTGTATACTTGCACACTTCCTCTCATGGATTTGTGTATCATTCGCAGAGGGAGTTTCCACCATAGTGAAATCCATGACGGAAGTGTGCATGTTAGAGAATCTAGGCAAAGCCTGAAAATGGTCTTGACTGGCCAACAGTGAGAAGGAAGGAGAGAGCCAACTGTGCATTATGTCATGCTGTTTCTCTCACTTTCGGAATACCTGTCCATGATGGCCAACCATCTCCGACACCTCATTCAACATGTAGAACTTCACCCTGTTCGTCTCAAACAGCTGAAAAGTAAGACAGACAGAGAGAGCACTGGGTTAAGTGTTCAAAGAGTTGAGCTTTTGTTAAGTTTAGCCTAACTTGTGTTCAGCTACAAATATACAAAAATACATAGGCCTATTACTAATGCCAATGGTTAATTGGCGGTGATGCGGCAACTCTTTCTATAAATACCCTCTTCATAATGGATTATTAACACTATGTACACACACACACACACCAGCGATACATCCAGTATACCCTCCCCTGAAAAACCAGGATTAATGGGCAATATATACCTGATTGTCTAAATAAGTGCATGAGCACCTATAAGAATATACTAGACATATTCCCTTGTGGTGCCTGGTGCATTGAACATGATTCACATTTAGAGTATACGTTTCTCTGTGTAGAAATGCTGATGAAGGTGTTCTAGAGGTAGTAGGGCTGATTTCCCAGGGGTGGGTCCCTACCTTCATTATGGCTTTCCCTACTTTCTCCCCCAGAGCTTTCCGGAAAGGGACTGCTTCTATCCCAATGATGGAGACAGAGTGGGCCTTGTCAGTGAGCGCAGCAGCCACCTCCATACCTAATGCAGAACCCAGATGATTACTCATGCACACATTCACAGATAGAAGTGCTACAATTACAGTACTACTATAAATACAACCATTCCAAACAAAGATTCCACAAAATACAACTTTTAAGGCTTAATGTAGCCTTCATAAACCCTTTATAAGGTATATAGATTGACATATGTGAATTTACATCTACTGGATGTCTGTCATCTCTCTCACCAACAAATGATGTTCCCACAATCACAGCATTCTTGTTGTTGGCCAGCCTGGCTACGCTATTAGCATCTTCAGGGGTCCTGAGGTGAAACACATTCCTAACGTCCTGGCCTTTATAGTTCATTGGCTTGGGTCTTACAAAAGACAAAGGACAGTGTTATATCAGTGTCAATAGAACAATGAGTTATGTCAAAACTGGTTATATCAACTACAATAGAATTTAATTCCATTTTATTGCATTCAACCAAATACTATTTCCGGTCACTCCTCACTTGCTTCCTGTGGCAATGAAAAGCTTCCTGTATTCCATCCTAGAGCCGTCTTGAAAAGTCACAGCCTTAGTCTTGACGTCCACTGCCACAGCCTATGACATCCAAACATCACAGTTAGAAAGAGACCATGGGGTGTCACCAAGGGGATGTGTTCATAAGGGCACACCAAACCAAACGTTTTGCAACGGAAAAACTAAAATCTTCTTATTGGAAGATGTTCAGGTAGCAAATCCATGATTCACTCCCTTTCAAAACTCCCTACTTAACACGGCCCAGTTGTAGATTCAAATGTAGCCTATATAATCAGTGTTTCAGGTCTCACCTCCTTCTCCGTGAGCAGCTCGATGTCGTGGGCTTGGAGGAAGTCTATGGAGCGTAGCCGGAGCTGCTCTGCTGTGCTCTCTAAGGACTGAGGGGGAGACAGTTAGTTACACCTCACCTCACCACAGCACAGTACACCACAGGCTGGACTTTATAGGTTGACGTTTGTTAAGTTGAAATGTTATAGGTGAAATTCATTGAAGAAATGCCACTTTTATGATGGTAATGCAACATTAATATGTTATCCCAATTTAAATCGCAATGTCAGCAAACCGTTTTCCCATAGAGATCATGGCCAAATGTCTACATTAGCCAGGACCAATATTTTCCCAAGATTACAGGCTAAAGATGGGTTCAGGATGGGTTAATACTTGCAATAACAAAATGGTAAGAATTTTGAGGCATGAAATCTCTGGATGGAATTGTTAATCTGCTATGAAACACAGTAGGGCATAACTGGTAGACTTTCGATCAGCAATTTCAATAATGTTTATATCCAGAAGAATCCTCAACTTAAAGAACCCTTGTGGACACTAAGTCTTTATGGGGATAGTCCTTGTATAGTTTCTGTGGTGTGTTCTGGATCTCTGTACAAACCTTACTCAGTTTAGGCCTGTCATAGGGTGGGTATTTGTCCATGGTGCACATGACAATGCGATCGGTGAAGCCTTCCTGTCTCAACGTCTCAGCGCACACCAGCCCTGCTGGACCTGGAGACACAAGACACTAGTTTAACATCTAAGTAGGATCTTAGATCCTTGCTATCCGAACTGAACACATGCTCTGTTTACCATAACTATTGACAGAAACAATAATAGTGAATCGGAGCGTGGATTAAGTTTGGATACCAGACACAATCTTAGAGCGGTGTAAACAAAACTTTGACAAAGAGCATACAGTCAAAATGTGTAAAGAAAATATATATACACTGCTCAAAAAAATTAAGGGAACACTAAAATAACACATCCTAGATCTGAATGAATGAAATAATCTTATTAAATACTTTTTTCTTTACATAGTTGAATGTGCTGACAACAAAATCACACAAAAATTATCAATGGAAATCAAATTAATCAACCCATGGAGGTCTGGATTTGGAGTCACCCTCAAAATGAAAGTGGAAAACCACACTACAGGCTGATCCAACTTTGATGTAATGTCCTTAAAACAATTCAAAATTAGGCTCAGTAGTGTGTGTGGCCTCCACGTGCCTGTTTGACCTCCCTGCAACGCCTGGGCATGCTCCTGATGAGGTGGCGGATGGTCTCCTGAGGGATCTCCACCCAGACCTGGACTAAAGCATCCGCCAACTCCTGGACAGTCTGTGGTGCAACGTGGCGTTGGTGGATGGAGCGAGACATGATGTCCCAGATGTGCTCAATTGGATTCAGGTCTGGGGAACGGACGGGCCAGTCCATAGCATCAATGCCTTCCTCTTGCAGGAACTGCTGACACACTCCAGCCACATGAGGTCTAGCATTGTCTTGCATTAGGAGGAACCCAGGGCCAACCGCACCAGCATATGGTCTCACAATGGGTCTGAGGATCTTATCTCGGTACCTAATGGCAGTCAGGCTACCTCTGGCGATCACATGGAGGGCTGTGCGGCCCCCCAAAGAAATGCCACCCCACACCATGACTGACCAACCACCAAACCGGTCATGCTGGAGGATGTTGCAGGCAGCAGAACGTTCTCCACAGCGTCTCCAGACTCTGTCACGTCTGTCACGTGCTCAGTGTGAACCTGCTTTCATCTGTGAAGAGCACAGGGCGCCAGTGGCGAATTTGCCAATCTTGGTGTTCTCTGGCAAATGGCAAACGTCCTGCACGGTGTTGGGCTGCAAGCACAACCTCCACCTGTGGACGTCGGGCCCTCATACCACCCTCATGGAGTCTGTTTCTGACCGTTTGAGCAGACACATGCACATTTGTGGCCTGCTGGAGGTCATTTTGCAGGGCTCTGGCAGTGCTCCTCCTGCTCCTCCTTGCACAAAGGCGGAGGTAGCAGTCCTGCTGCTGGGTTGTTGCCCTCCTACGGCCTCCTCCACTTCTCCTGATGTACTGGCCTGTCTCCTGGTAGCGCCTCCATGCTCTGGACACTACGCTGACAGACACAGCAAACCTTCTTGCCACAGCTCGCATTGATGTGCCATCCTGGATGAGCTGCACTACCTGAGCCACTTGTGTGGGTTGTAGACTCAGTCTCATGCTACCACTAGAGTGAAAGCACCGCCAGCATTCAAAAGTGACCAAAACATCAGCCAGGAAGCATAGGAACTGAGAAGTGGTCTGTGGTCACCACCTGCAAACCAGTCCTTTATTGGGGGTGTCTTGCTAATTGCCTATAATTTCCACCTGTTGTCTATTCCATTTGCACAACAGCATGTGAAATTTATTGTCAATCAGTGTTGCTTCCTAAGTGGACAGTTTGATTTCACAGAAGTGTGATTGACTTGGAGTTACATTGTATTGTTTAAGTGTTCCCTTAATTTTTTTGTGCAGTGTATATATATTACTGGAAACTTTCTACGTTTACCAATAAACTACCAGAATTTTGATATCTTTCAAGGATTTTATGTAATCTATCACAAGACATCTAGTGGCCCTTTTGGGTACTTCAGATTATCACAGGTGTCTGTAATAATCTCTGGCCCTCTGTGGGGCCTTATCACATGTAAAATACACTGAGTGCACAAAACATTAGGAACACCTTCCTAATATAGAGTTGCACCCCCTTTTGCCCTCAGAACAGCCTCAATTCGTCGGGGCATGGACTCTACAAGGTGTCAAGCGTTCCACAGGGATGCTGGCCCATGTTGACTCCAATGTTTCCCACAGTTGTGTCAAGTTCGCTAGATGTCCTTTGGGTGGTGGGCCATTCTTGATTCCCATGGGAAACTGTTGAGTGTGAAAACCCCAGCAGTGTTGCAGTTCTTGACACACTCAAACCGGTGCGCCTGGCACCTACTACCATACCCCGTTCAAAGGCACTTAAATATTTTGTCTTGCCCATTCACCCTCTGAATGGCACACATACACAATCCATGTCTCAATTGTCTCAAGGCTTAAAAAATCATTCTTTAACCTGTCTCCTCCCCTTCATCTACACTGATTGAAGTGGATCATCAATAAGGGATCATAGCTGTCACCTGGATTCACCTGGTCAGTCATGGAATGATGTCTTAATGTTTTGTACACTCAGTGTAAATTAAATAATTTAATAAGATGATTTTAAAATAAAAAACAGAATGACAAAGCTGTAAAACATGATCCTAAATATAAACCATCAACTTAGTGAGTACCATTGGTGTTTAATATATATTGAGGGTTTCAGCATGAAATATCATTTATATATTGTTTTACAAACTTTTATTTATTTTACTATGTCAATATGTATTTGTTGTCAATGTTTTGGCGTCAAACTGGTGGCAGTTGTGAAAAAAAGTAAATAGTTGGAAGAATTGCAGAGTTAATTGAAAATAATGCCATTGTTGATGCTTTTTTCATTAATTAGGCTATTTTCTATTGAACCATATGGTCTATCTAATAGAAGCTCATGGACAATATTAACACAGATATAATAAATGAATACTATGTGAATACATTTAAAAAAAGTTATTCAAGTATAAATTATCAAAGTTACAATAGATTGCCATAGATTTTCAGTTAATTACCAAAATTACTGAAGATTCCGGTAATTTTGGTAAATTACCGGTAGCTTTGCAACCCTAACCATGAACTAAAAACATTGTTGTTGCAGTAATGTTTGGGAGCTGCTATCATCTATCCTTTTTTGGAATACTCAGGACCTATAATGAACCAAACACATATGGTTCCAGTCCTAGTCGACAGTTTGAACAGACTTCTATTTACCAGCGGTGTGTGAGGTGTGAGTGCAAGGAGATGCTCAATGGCCAACTCACCTGATCCAACGATGAGGATGTAGCTGAAGCCAGTGCTGGAGTTAATGACTGCTGAACATCGGGCCATGGCCTTTGACCTCTTCTGTGACTGAAGATCCTGGAAGATGAAAATGTTTGCCAGGTCAACAAAGGGGGATCAGTTGATTTAGAACAACAGATTCTAGATAGTCCCAGAATATCTTTACCTGTTTATTAGCGCGAATGATCACCTTGTCCTTTTCAATTCGGACCTGAAGCAAACAGACATGAGCGATGTGTACACGGTTTTGACGATGCTTAGAGACAGTATGTGAAGGCAGGGAATGTGAATTGCATGGTGAATCGAATGAGGAAGGTCACCTGGAAGGTGGGCAAGCTGTCCAGTCCAGGAAAGTCCTCAATGTCTCCCGTAGCGATGTTGAAACAAGCTCCATGCCAGGGGCAACGCACGTGCCCTTTGGACAAGACACCTGCAACACACAAATATATACATCCCACTGTATCATACACCAATCTATCTCAGAGCTTGTTTATAACATAAGAGAGCAAAAAGATACCACACCAATATTCCATCAAAAAAGCTAACACAATGCAGAACCGGACTCACCTTTGACCAGTGGTGCCCCATAATGTGGACACTTGTGCCCAATGGCAGAAAACTCTCCATGTTCTTTGATGAGCAGCGCTCTGCCACTTCCCAAATCAACCTCTCGCATCCTATGCAGGGATAAGAGCACACACACACACACACACAGGAAGGGAGAAAAGATGTGAGGGGGAAAAGCACTGGTTGCAGCCATAAAAACTCCAGGTGATTGACCTGGTATATGTTGTCTTTTGTTTGGCCTTACTGTCCATTTTCCATATCCTTGACATGACACACTGAGGCCTCCACGTAGTCGCGGGGTTTGTAGAGCCTGAGGGGGGCGGCGGCGGCGTCCTCGTCGGAGCAGTGTCCCAGCGCTCCGTTGGGCCTGCATTCAGAGAAGGGGCTTGCCTTTCCATTGGGTGACATCACATCTGCTTCCTTTTCTTTCTCCAAGAGGGTAAGCTCCACTTTCACCTCAACTGCAGGACACAGACCATTAGAAATATGACAGCCTTTTCAGGTTGATCTTCGCCCAGTCACTTGTTTTTGTTCTTATCATACGGTACAGTTCGTCATTTTCACCCATCCTCCTCCTCCTCAACTTTTAAGTCACCAGCCGCCCCTGATATTCATATTAATTTTTCCTTTGATTACCATACCCAGCAGACTCCCCATGGAGAAGGGTTCTGTATCAAATGAAACTGACTTGACCATGAAAATACTTTTGCTGTGTGACAACCTTAAAAAGGTCCTGAACAATCATTCTGAATCCCATGTAAAATACCCTTTTGAGTGACTAAAATACACTACATGGCCAAATGTATGTGGACACCTGCTCGTCGAACATCTCATTCCAAAATCATGAGCATTAAGATGGAGTTGGTCCCCCCCCCTTTGCTGCTATAACAGCCTCCACTCATCTGGGAAGGCTTTCCACTAGATGTTGGAACATTGCTGTGGGGACTTGCTTCCATTCAGCCACAAGAGCATTAGTGAGGTCGGACACTGGTGTTGGGCGATTAGGACTGGCCTGCAGTTGGTGTTCCAACTCATCCCAAAGGTGTTCGATGGGGTTGAGGTCAGGGCTCCATGCAGGCCAGTCAAGTTCTTCTACACCGATCTCGACAAACCATTTCTGTATGGACCTCGCTTTGTGCACGGGGGCATTGTCATGCTGAAACAGGAAAGGGCCTTCCCCAAACTGTTGCCACAAAGTTGGAAGCACAGAATCATCTAGAATTTCATTGTATGCTGTAGCGTTAAGATTTCCCTTCACTGGAACTAAGGGGCCTAGTCCTAACCATGAAAAACAGCCCCAGACCATTATTCCTCCTCCACCAAACTTTAAAGTTGGCACTATGCATTGGGGTAGGTAGCATTCTCCTGGCATCCGCCAAACCCAGATTCGTCAGTCGGACTGCCAGATAGTGAAGCGTGATTCATCACTCCAGAGAACGCATTTCCACTGCTCCAGAGTCCAATGGTGGCGAGCTATACACTACTCCAGCCGATGCTTGGCATTGCGCATGGTGATCTTAGGCTTGTGTGCGGCTGCTCGGCCATGGAACGAACAGTTATTGTGCTGAAGTTGCTTCCAGAGGCAGTTTGGAACTCGGTAGTGAGTGTTGCAACCGAGTGCAGACGTTTTTACGCGCTACGCGCTTCAGCACTCAGCAATCCTGTTCTGTGAGCTTGTGTGGCCTACCACTTCGCTGCTAAGCCGTTGTTGCTCCTAGACGTTTCCACTTAACAATAACAGCTCTTACAGATGACCGGGGCAGCACTAGCAGGGCAGAAGTTTGACGAACTGACTTGTTGGAAATGTGGCATCCTATGACGGTGCCACGTTGAAAGTCATTGAGCTCTTCTGTATGGGCCATTCTACTGCCAATGTTTGTCTATGGAGATTGCATGGCTGTGTGCTCGATTTTATACACCTGTCAGCAATGGGTGTGGCTGAAATAGCCGAATCCACTAATTTGAAGGGGTGTCCACATCCTGTTGGCCATGTAGTGAATCACCCATAATATCTTTGGGGAATAGAAATGCTCAAAATTTTTGGCAAATTATTTTTTCTCTCATAGCTAACTACCAGGAAGTACTACTAGAAAAGACAGGCTGAGTGGGAGGAGAGCTTATATTTATGAGCTCGCCTTGACTGACAGCTCTTTGAAACGCAAGCAATTTGGATGCAGTGAGTAGTGTTGCAGTAAAATAATCTCAGGCAAATTTGGTGATACAGAAAGCAACTCAAACAACATTGTAATTGCATCAATGATGTCAATTTTTGTATACACATCTCCAGTTTGGCATGTCTGTTACGATCGGTTCACAGCAGCACTGATGTATGCGTTGACATGACAACTGCGTCAGAGTTTTGAATGACCCTTCCCTCCAACGTTTTGTTCCATGCTGGCTGAAGACCTAGCTAGCCAGTAACTAGTGAACACCAGACACAGATGAAGACCTAGCTAGCCAGTAACTAGTGAACACCAGACACAGATGAAGACCTAGCTTGCCAGTAACTAGCGAACACCAGACACAGATGAAAAAGGAAACATATAAGTAAGTATCTTTGCCATAGATGAATAGTGTAAACTTTTAATTATATTTGCAGACACCCTACAGTCACATTTTGGCACCAGTACAGTAGCTATCTAGCTATATAAACCATGCCCCTCTGCAAATGCACCTTCTCTGATGTTGGATAAAAGGCAGTACTCATTTAAATTAGTTAAGAGAATATCATGTTACCATTGGTGTATTAAAACGTGAGTTAGGGTAATGTCACCCTATCCCCTTAATAATCTCGCCTCCTGAATCCAAGTGTTTGACATGGGGGAGGGGACTAGTAACTTTATGATCAAACTTTATCAATGTAGAAGCAACAGTCATTTTTCATACATTGGTCATTATACTTTGATCTGGTTTCATCCAAATATCATCCAAATTTCATGAAAAACATGATTTTGACTGTTTAGATACAGTATATATTTAGGATCACTACACCATGCATTATATATTTTCCTGAATAACACACGCAGGGATAGGCCTAAGGGGATGTGTGGGTTTATTTGTTGTGAGGCGCCCAGAGGCATTTGATGACATCTGATAAGTTGCCTCTTGGGTTTGTATTTCTTCATTTGAAGAAATGGTTGTGTAACCCGTTTTCACTGCAGCCAGCTTTATCTCTTCGGCTGGAAAAATGTGCTGACCATCCGGTTCTTACATGGTAATCTGGCAGGAATTTTCACCTGCTGAGCAAGTCTTAATTAAAATCACTGGAAAATCATGAGAGACTGCAATCGCAGGAGAGGAAAAGGGAGAGACTCCATCCCCAGACTCATATGGGATCTTTTTTTTTTACTTTTATGAGAGATATTTAACTACAATCTTACGTAAGAGGAATTCACAATTTGTGCATTAGATTTGCTATAGAGATATATGTTTTTTGTTGATTATCTTTCTTTAGATTTTAATAGCATAAAATCACATCCACAGATCGGGACCATTCTAAATCCATAAGTTGATACTCTACCATACAGTGAGGGAAAAAAGTATTTGATCCCCTGCTGATTTTGTACGTTTGCCCACTGACAAAGAAATTATCAGTCTATAATTTTAATGGTAGGTTTATTTGAACAGTGAGAGACAGAATAACAACAAAATAATCCAGAAAAACACATGTCAAAAATGTTATAAATTGATTTGCATTTTAATGAGGGAAATAAGTATTTGACCCCCTCTCAGTCAGAAAGATTTCTGGCTCCCAAGTGTCTTTTATACAGGTAACGAACTGAGATTAGGAGCACACTCTTAAAGGGAGTGCTCCTAATCTCAGCTTGTTACCTGTATAAAAGACACCTGTCCACAGAAGCAATCAATCAATCAGATTCCAAACTCTCCACCATGGCCAAGACCAAAGAGCTCTCCAAGGATGTCAGGGACAAGATTGTAGACCTACACAAGGCTGGAATGGGCTACAAGACCATCGCCAAGCAGCTTGGTGAGAAGGTGACAACAGTTGGTGCGATTATTTGCAAATGGAAGAAACACAAAAGAACTGTCAATCTCCCTCGGCCTGGGGCTCCATGCAAGATCTCACCTCGTGGAGTTGCAATGATCATGAGAATGGTGAGGAATCAGCCCAGAACTACACGGGAGGATCTTGTCAATGATCTCAAGGCAGCTGGGACCATAGTCACCAAGAAAACAATTGGTATCACACTACGCCATGAAGGACTGAAATCCTGTGGCACCCGCAAGGTCTTCCTGCTCAAGAAAGCACATATACAGGCCCGTCTGAAGTTTTCCAATGAACATCTGAATGATTCAGAGGAGAACTGGGTGAAAGTGTTGTGGTCAGATGAGACCAAAATCGAGGTCTTTGGCATCAACTCAACTCGCCGTGTTTGGAGGAGGAGGAATGCTGCCTATGACCCCAAGAACACCATCCCCACCGTCAAACATGGAGGTGGAAATATTATGCTTTGGGGGTGTTTTTCTGCTAAGGGGACAGGACAACTTCACCGCATCAAAGGGACGATGGACGGGGCCATGTACCGTCAAATCTTGGGTGAGAACCTCCTTCCCTCAGCCAGGGCATTGAAAATGGGTCGTGGATGGGTATTCCAGCATGACAATGACCCAAAACACACGGCCAAGGTAACAAAGGAGTGGCTCAAGAAGAAGCACATTAAGGTCCTGGAGTGGCCTAGCCAGTCTCCAGACCTTAATCCCATAGAAAATCTGTGGAGGGAGCTGAAGGTTCGAGTTGCCAAACGTCAGCCTCGAAACCTTAATGACTTGGAGAAGATCTGCAAAGAGGAGTGGGACAAAATCTCTCCTGAGATGTGTGCAAACCTGGTGGCCAACTACATGAAACGTCTGACCTCTGTGATTGCCAACAAGGGTTTTGCCACCAAGTACTAAGTAATGTTTTGCAGAGGGGTCAAATACTTATTTCCCTCATTAAAATGCAAATCAATTTATAACAATTTTGACATGCGTTTTTCTGGATTTCTTTGTTGTTATTCTGTCTCTTACTGTTCAAATAAACCTACCATTAAAATGATAGACTGATCATGTCTTTGTCAGTGGGCAAACGTACAAAATCAGCAGGGGATCAAATACTTTTTTTCCTCACTGTATGCTCCATGATGAAGTCAGAATCTCTCCTAAACATCAGATGTATCTTTAATGTTCAGTAATTGCCACATGTATTTGATAAGAGATATACAGTATATAAATACAATGAAGAGTAACATGATAATTTAACATTAAATAAATAACGAACTCAATAATTATTTCATTCAATCAATCTAAAGTAAGTGGCATAGCCCATTCATGTGCATGAGCAACGATCAATTGTTTAATCATCATTAAAATCATATAGAAAGTGTATATTATGGTCCTCTACTCATCTTCTCCTGGACAGGGGTTTATTTGTCAATGATTTGCAAACGATGTTACCTTTAACTGAGTCTTTGGCTATCTGCCCATGCTGTGTAGCTGTGTTACCAAGCCAAACGATCTGCTCCTACTTTTGTACTGCATATAACATGTATAAAGTGTCATTTTTACCATCATACACACTGCTAAAAAAATATGTGTGATTTGCGGTTCTATATATAACCTTTTCTTCTAGCAATGCAAGCTGCTTTGTTTTTGGATGAGTTGTTTTTGCTTAGTTAAGGGACCTTTCTCTCCACTGAGATTCTCCAATGCATCAAAGTGAAACTGAGTGAATTGTACACCTCAGGAGAAACATACCCTTGCTTGTCATTGGAGGAAGAGATACTCCGACATAGGGGAGATTATACTGCATTCTATCACTTTGCCATGCTATCACTTCATCCCCCCCTCTCACACACTCACCCCCTTTCTTTATCTTCCTACAATGTTTTCATTCAGAAACATCATGTGCTGAATCTTTTTGAATGGGCACCGATGGACTTTCTAGTCTTAGAAACAATTATTTGTTTATAATATGTTGTTAAAATATTTGAATGGATCAAATTGAAGGGCCAGTGTATGACATCTCAGCTCCCACTAACACATCTGCTTTTCACTGACTCTGCAGAAACTCAGTGTCCTGAAATGTTTCGACTAAGCCCACGTTTTCAGACATTTGCAGGATCATGACAATACACTTGGATAATTATCTTAATCTTCAATGTTCCTCTTTATGATTTATTTTTTAACCCTAAGTACAGTGTAAGTACAGTGTAACAATAAATAAAGGAGTTATTACAATACATGTTCATCTGTACTTATAGGAATAACTACAGAGTTATAAAGACACTAATGTAAAGTTTTACCCTGATGGTGTGATATTGTATTTTACAGATTCTTGAAACATGTATTTATCTCACATTGTGTAAAATCTGTTTTTGTCTGGTTCAGTTTCTGATTTAGTTTACTATACTGGTGCTCATCACTGCTGTGTCCAAGGTTCCATTCAGGGGCCCATTTGTTTCCTACAGACTCAGACTAATTAGTCTTTTCACAGTGAGGGGCATCCGTTCCAACACACCACCCTCAAAAGCTCCCCTAGAGTACTGGAGACAAGTTTCCTATCCCCTACACTTTATCCATACTAGCTCCTAGTGTGGTATTGCAGTGGTTGTTTTTGTGAAAATTATGTTTAATTTGTTTTTGTGATTTCTTTACCGCTTTCCCTAAGCACTATTGAAAGTCAAAGATTTAAAAAAATAAGTAATGTGTTTGATTTCAGTGCTTACTGCCCCCTTCAACAAGCTGACTGCATTTAAACAGCGATATGTTTGCTTTTAAACAGCCATACATCCGCAATCATAACATTGTTTCACTGCTATGCAGCTTTATTTACCAATCAGACCCAGTGACCCAGCTAGCGTAGCTACCTTCATAAGTGTCTTAATGACATCAAATGTTGGATGTCTGACAAAATTCTCCAGCTCAATGATAAGAAATCAGAGGTTGTTTTATTTGCCCCTCACCTTGCTAGAAACCAGATTGTAAATAACCTTGCTCATTTGTCCACCAATGTAAAGCCTACGGCCAGAAACGTTGGTGTCTTCTTTGACCCTGACCTGAAGCTCGAGTTGCATGTAAAGAAGGTTGTCCAGTCCTGCTTTTATCATCTAAGAAATATAGCTAAAGTCAAGTCTTTTTATTTCAGTCACTGATCTGGAGAAGATTATTCATGCTTTTATTTCCTCACACCTAGATTACTGTAACTCTTTGTGTACATGTCTCAGTCAGAAATCACTCCATCATCTACAGTTCAAAATGCTGCAACTCGGCATTTAACACGCACCAGAAAATGTAACCATATCACCTATTTGGGATTCTCTACACTGTCTACCAGTCACTTTGATAATAGATTTTAAAATTGTATTAATCACATTTAAGGCTTTATTTAGCCCCATCCTATTACTCTGATCTTTTACCTCCTTACAAGCCAGGACTCAGCCTGAGATCCTCTGGCAGGGCACTGTTGACCATTCCAAAGTCTAGGTTGAAAATGAAAGGAGACTGGACATTTGCTATTAGGGCCCCTAGACTTTGGAATGGTCTGCCAGATGAGATCAGGCTTACAGATTCAGGGCCTCTTTTTAAATCCCTGCTGAAGACACACTTTTATAAAGATGCTTTTAAATGTAGGATTTCAATGTAGGATTTTAATTAGCTATCTTTTTTCATTCTCTTTCCTCCTGTCTTTGTTTCTTTGTTTGTACTTTTATTTCATTATTTTATGATGTGAAGCACGTTGTTACTTGTATTGAAAAGAGCTATACAAATAAAGTGATTATTATTACATTGTACCATACATTTTAAACTCATATTTGACAATGCAATTGAGAGCATAACAATTCTTCCTCCACAAAATGCCATGCTACAAAGGAGTTTGTATGACCTATATATACATTTACATTTTACATTTTAGTCATTTAGCAGACGCTCTTATCCAGAGCGACTTACAGTTAGTGAGTGCATACATTTTCATACTGGCCCCCCGTGGGAATCGAACCCACAACCCTGGCGTTGCAAGCACCATGCTCTACCAATTGAGCTACACAGGGCCTATATAGCTGGAGAACAAGTGCCAATTATTCCAGGATTTCGAAGGAGGGAAGGAAAACAGGGGGTTGGCGGAGGTGGTCACCTGGTTTGCTTTTGGAGAGGCATCCTCCCATGATGGGCCCAGGGTAGAGCCAGGAGGCCTGGCTGGAGGAAGCCCAGGGGAGGTGAGGGGGAGACAGGGTCAGATCCTGGGGTTGGGCTGTTGGGTTGGGAGGTAACGACGACAACGTTGAAATGGGGGTATCAGTACGTGCAGGTGCAGGTCCAGGCTAGCCATCGTAGACATCAGCTCCTCCACATCACCACCTGGGAAGAGGAAGAGTGATAAACAGCTGAGTGTCTGAAAAGCCCAGTGGAGGCTGGTTGAGGGAGAACATTTGGAGATTACATTGAGCCCATCCTCCCATTTCTCCCGCCACAATCTGGGTTTTCCGACCCTCCCATGGTGGAGCCGTCACTGGCTTACCACCTCCAACCCACACACCGTGCTGCTAACACTACTGGCAGTTCACTCCCTGGAAAGACAGAGCGCTTTTCTGCCTCCATTTTCCATAAGACGCACAAAGCCTCGGCCTTATCAATCAGAGCACTTAACGTGACCTCTTTATTGTTGGCTTACCAGGCAGTGTTACTGGAGGATGTGTGGAAGCAACTGGATTCGGGGACCCTGAATAAGGATGCTTGGAATGAGATCTGTAAGATTACGGATCTAAACCTCCGGGCCTCACGTAATGCCATCCAAGGCTGTGGTCATACCATGAGCCTGGCGGTGGTGGAAGAAACAGACAAATAAATGGTGGACCTCCTGGATGCCCCTGTGACACCCAAGGAGTTGTTCGGCCCGCTGTCGCCGCCATGCAGCAGATGTATGAAAGAAGGCGAAGCCTCCCAGGCCCTGTGGCAGCCTGTTGGTCCCTGCAACTCGCCCTAGCCTCACAGCAGGGAGGAGGCAACAAGCTGTCTTTGGGGGCCCACGACTCCCGGAGACTCAGCAGACTGCCAATGTCTTCGCTCAAATGGGAAAATGGGGGATGTGCACTCTTACCCTCAAGTGTCATCCCCCCTTTGGTTATCCCCTAGGCACCTTCTCATGTTTTAAGCCAGGACGACAGTCAGCATGTCCGCTCTCCCTCCAGTCTCTTCTGACTTACGGAGCTGGATGACATTGCCATATGCCATAACCATGGCTCCCCTTGCCTTGCGGCATTATCGCCTCTTACTGTCTATTGCGCAAGCAACACATTTTACACAATTCCCATGTTTCCATACACTAAACAGGGAAACAGGTTTCCGAGGTTCACTTCAAAGATTGCCGTAACCCACTGGGTTTCTCTGGATCTTTTTTAGGATAATCTTATGGCAATTTAGCTCCATTGATAGAAAAGTATTTATATCGAGCTATAGGACAGTCAGTAAGGTATTCCATTATTCATATTTTCTGGTCCGAACCCCAGACAGCTATCTGGTACACCAAGTCCACCAGTCTCGGGCATTTTTTCCTCGTCCCGTTCCTACCTGTGCTTGGTTCACGCAGTCTGGGATTTGTCAGCTCTACTTTCCCTTTGGGGAAATGTTCACTCTTGTTATCCCTCCTCTCCGAGGTAGGGCCAAGACTGACCAGACACATAGCTGATCTATTGCTTAGGATTAGGACATCTGTGTTACAAGCATGTTTCCTTCCTCCTTTAAGCTACACCGGTTGAAGCCTTATGTCACTTCGTTGGCTGCTCTCTCGCGCAAAAGCCCCCACTCGGTGACACGGTATAGCCAAACTCATTGCCACCTGCTAGGGACAGTCAAAGAGGATCAGGCATGTTTTGGAAAGAACGCTATGCCCATATGCCTCGGACAGATACGAGGCTATCCCAGCAATGGCACACACTGTCTGCTATCTCCTGCAATATTATCACGCCCTGGGGTGCGAATGACACGCTCGCGCTGGCACTTTAAACCAGTTCCTGAGAGCCCGCCCTCTGCATCTATCCAGACTGATTTGAAAGACAGACTGTAAAAAGCAACAACCCTATGAGGGTTTTGGAGACCCCGTCCCTGCTTAATGTTTACGCACCACTAGGGGTGGAAGCACTGGCACAAGGGTAATGCCCTAGGCTTTTTCTCTCTCCTAGGCCTGACACAGGCTTATCCCTCATCTTCGAGCCCTTCAATGACCAAGGATACCCTGGTTGGCGGAGATAACTCTCCCGCTTTTAACCAGTCCTGGTAGTCACCGTTACGCAGGGATCTGCAGACCCAAATGCACGGAGAGATTTGCCTGCGACAAGCTGCCTACTCAAGACCTTTCACCAGAGTGCCAGTGCCCCTTTTTCGAGAAGTGGTGTGACCTACACAGATCATCCCTTGGAAACAGAGGGAAGATCTCCAAAGGTCCAGTTAACTGCGATCTCACCTGTCACATGTCGCACCAGCCTCAACATTTACAGTAGGGTAACACCCTCTGTAGTTGAGGGTGCGTGTCACAAAACCAGTCTTCAAGCCTTTAGCCCGTCACATGGGACTAGAGGTCTTCAAGGGTCCACCCGAGACGGTCCTGTTTGATTGTCATGGGGTCTTGGGTCTATGTAACTACAGCTGATAGACTCGGTTGGACCTGACCACAGCTCTGCATAGCCTATAGCAGATTTATTTTACGCTAATAAGGTGACTTTACTGACTTATAGAAGGCTTAGCCAACATATAAAGACCTATTTGTTAACCAGAAGAGCAACTTGGCTGATAAACATACTTTTTTTTGTAACGTGGATCCAATCTGGTCTAGGTTAAGCTGTTGTTGGATCCATTCAGGTTTGGGTCTGATTGTTCTTGGGTCCGTTCGGGTCCTCTACATGGGACCGTCTGTTGTGCTTGAGGCTTTCCCATGGTGGCCTTTTGTGCCGCTGGAAAGCGGGGAAATTTCATATTTCTCTTTCTAACCTGCTTTTCCGTCTACCCTACGGCTACAAAGCAACCGTTCGTGCCTTCAGTTTGCCCTGGGGTCCTGCTGGGTACCTTGGTAGCCAAACCCAACCTTTATGCCTAGGGTCAGCGGCAACTGTGTTGTAGTGCCCTGGAGCTTGTGGTTACACCCACCGCTCTTCCCGTTTACAGAAGTAGAGTGTCTCCACCATTTGTGTCCAGCATGCACCTTGCACATTTGCTTGGATGAAAGCGAGAGTATTGCTCTAGAGCGGCAATGACCCCTGCAGTTTTTGGGCACCTCCCTGCAAGGCGAGTCCCCCTTCCTCGTTAACGGCTATCTTTGGATGGTAGAAGCTATTGTATTGGAAAATATAATAGCAAAGGCTACAGTTTGGAAGGGCTCATTCCACCAGAGGTATGGCTATCTCTTGGGCACTGTTTAAGGCATCTCCTTATGGGAGTTTTGCATTTTGGCACGTGGAGCCACCCCTCATACTTTTATGAGGTCTTTACCGACTGGATGTCACTGCATCTTTTTTGTGGCATACTCCCTCTGTGTCGGAGACTCTGAGGGATGATGCTGTTGGAACTACACTGGCTTCGGAGAGGATGTCTGCATTGTGGGAGTTGGCCATATCCCATAGTGAGACATCGAAACGAGTATTTGAAATGAGATTACTTACGTAACCCCAGTTCTATATGAATATGAGTGAGATCGCAAGGAAGATAAGCAAGAGTGCAAGGAGGAGAGGCAGTTTGGCGGATGAAAGGCTCCCTTTATGGAGAGGAGGGGCTCTCATTCGCCACTCGACTTGTCGGTCTCCAACAGATGCTGTGTGATTGGATACTTCGAGCTTATGGACACGCCCAGGCACATCCCATAGTGAGACATCTCACTCATATTCTCATAGAACCGGGGTTACATAAGTAACCTTGAGTTCTTTGCAAGTCCTTCTCCTGTAGAGTGTGGTTTGTTTGCATTTATATGAACCACTGCCCCATTTTGGAAATTGAAATACAATACTTACAGTATATCAACCATGGCTCAACATTTTTACAATGAACCAATATACTTTTCAAGCTATTCATGATGCTGAGAAACATGGACAGGCCACTGTGGTAGTGAAAAGACTAGCCTAGCACTAACAACCATTAGCATTCACAGCACCATCCACAGTCCTCTCAATGACATTGTTATAACATCGTTGTTTTCCACCAAAAAAACATCAACCACTCGTTTGAAAAGGAAAGGGTATGTAGTTGTCTGTCAACCTGCCCGTCTGTACATACAGTCGATCAGAGAAGAGAACTCCATATTTTAGTGATTTCTTTAATACAGTATGTCTGTGAGGCCCAAACTTGGTTCTCTGAGGTTGTATAGAGCAGCTATTACTATTCCTGTGTGCTCTGCACTCCAGCAACACTTGGCAACAATGTAAGGTTGTCACTTGTTTTCGACCCTTCTCTCTCTACCATGAAGCTAATGAGTGTGTGTGTGTGTGTGCATGTATGTGTGTATGTGTGTGTGTTTGTGTGTGCGTGCATGTGTCCAAATGCCCTTAAAGTGGAAGTAATAGTGTTAGTAGTGTTAATTGGTAACATTTTTCCACGTACATTGTTACTTAATGCATCACATGTTGCATACATAAGTGCTGTTAACCATTAACAGCCTTTGCACCTATTAACTTTAATGTCACTCTGTTGTGAAGGGAAGCAGAGGCCCCATGAGTTTCAAAACCACATTTGTTTTGCTGCCACACACTGCCCACACACCCCTGCCAGAACTTGTGGTATTTCAACCCACTTGATGTTGCTTAACAATACAGCAGTTTATATGAATATGAGTGCAGTACTAGAGTAAGAAGCATTCACAGGCTGGCAGGTGTATCACACAACACAGTACGATTCATTAGCAATAGCAAAACATTCTTTGGTGGTGCAACTAAAGTGAGTACTTGATATTCAGAGCACAGCTTAACGTCCTTGAGGTAAAACAAAAAAATAGCTGTTGAATGGAGCAGTGGTTAACAAAGTTTTAGAGACCAAGTGAGACATGGAAAGATCTCTCTTGTGAATGACAAAACACATTTCACCCAATAAAAAGTTTGTGTCATCACTGTCAAACTGTTTAGACAGTATGTGTGTGTATATACTTCATAATACATTCAACTCAAAATGATCACAAAAACATTCAAGAAGTTTGAAGGATATTTCCATTTGACTTATTTTGCAGCATGGAATTAATTATCAAGAGTCAGTTTTGTCATCTTTTTAAAGGTAATATAGAACCTGAGCACGATAAACAACTGGGTAAGCCTGGTTCTTTTTGGGCAGAATGTGGGCGTTTGTTTTTCCCTACACAATTTGTGAAAATCTCCATGGTAACTGTTCATTAT